CTCATTAAAATGCAAATCAATTTATAATATTTTTGACATGTGTTTTTCTGGATTTTTTGTTGTTGTTATTCTGTCTCTCACTGTTCAAATAAACCTACCATTAAAATTATAGACTGATCATGTCTTTGTCAGTGGGCAAACGTACAAAATCAGCAGGGGATCAAATTCTTTTTTCCCTCACTGTATGAACAAAAATGGACACTCCTCCTCCCACTCTTGATGTTCTTCAGTGGTGAACAGCATTATAAGGAGATATGTCATAAAGCATGGTTGTCTCTTCATGATTTTTAGGAAGACTGCAAACATTCAAATGAAAGGTAGAAAATAAGCTTGTCTTAGAATTAGATAAACTTCTATACAGATTGTTAAATTGCTTAACATTATAGTAATCACAAGTGATGCACTCACTTCTGGTAAATTTCAGGAAATTTCAATCTGGATCAACACAATCATTATATTTACAATTCACTTCATTAATGTAACTTGCCCATGCCCCCCCCCGCCCCCCGCTTCTCCTTCACACAAATTCAGACAGCTGATGTTCTGAAAGAGCTGCAAAATCTGGACCCCTACAAATCATCTGGGCTAGACAATCTGGACCCTTTCTTTCTAAAAACTAGCCACCGAAATTGTCGCAACCCCTATTACTAGCCTGTTCAACCTCTCTTTCGTAACGTCTGAGATCCCCAGGGATTGGAAAGCTGCCGCAGTCATCCCCCTCTTCAAAGGGGGTGACACTCTAGATCCAAACTGTTACAGACCTATATCCATCCTGCCCTGCCCTTCGAAAGTTTTTGAAAGCCAAGTTAACAAACAGATCACCGACCATTTCGAATCCCACCGTACCTTCTCCGCTATGCAATCCGGTTTCCGAGCTGGTCATGGGTGCACCTCAGCCACGCTCAAGGTCATAAACGATATTATAACCGCGATCGATAATAGACATAACTGTGCAGCCATCTTCATCGACCTGGCCAAGGCTTTCGACTCTGTCAACCACCGCTCTCTTATTGGCAGACTAATTAGCCTTGGTTTCTCAAATGACTGCCTCGCCTGGTTCACCAACTACTTCTCAGATAGAGTTCAATGTGTCAAATCGGAAGGCCTGTTGTCTGGACATGTGGCAGTCTCTATGGGGGTGCCACAGGGTTCAATTCTTGGGCAGACTCTTTTCTCTGTGTATATCAATGATGTCGCTCTTGCTGCTGGTGACTCTCAGATCCACCTCTACGCAGACGACACCATTTTGTATACATCTGGCCCTTCATTGGACACTGTGTTAACAAACCTCCAAACGAGCTTCAATGCCATACAACACTCCTTCCGTAGCCTCCAACTGCTCTTAAACACTAGTAAAACTAAATGCATGCTCTTCAATCGAACGCTGCTGGCACCCGCCCACCCGACTAGAATCACTACTCTCGACGGGTCTGACCTACAGTATGTGGACAACTACAAATACCTAGATGTCTGGTTAGACTGGAAACTCTCCTTCCAGACTCACATTAAGAATCTCCAACCCAAAGTTAAATCTAGAATCGGCTTCCTATTTCGCAACAAAGCCTCCTTCACTCATGCTGCCAAACATGCCCTCGTAAAACTGACTATCCTACCGATCCTTGACTTCGGCGATGTCATTTACAAAATAGCCTCCCACACACTGCTCAGCAAATTGGATGTAGTCTATCACAGTGCCATCCGTTTTGTCACCAAAGCCCCATATACTACCCACCACTGTGACCTGTACGCTCTTGTTGGCTGGTCCTCACTACATATTCGTCGCCAAACCCACTGGCTCCAGGCCATCTATAAATCACTGCTAGGCAAATCCCCGCCTTATCTTAGCTCATTGGTCACCATAGCAACACCCACCCGTAGTATGCGCTCCAGCAGGTATATCTCACTGGTCATCCCCAAAGCCAACACCTCCTTTGGCCGCCATTCCTTCCAGTTCTCTGCTGCCAATGACTGGAACGAATTGCAAAAATCTCTGAAGCTGGAGACTCTTATCTCCCTCACTAACTTTAAGCATCAGTTGTCAGAGCACCTTACCGATTACTGCACCTGTACACAGCCCATCTGAAATTAGCCCACCCAACTACCTCATCCCCATATTGTTATTTATTTTGCTCATTTGCACCCCAGTATCTCTATTTGCACATAATCTCTTGCACATCTATCATTCCAGTGTTAATACTAATTGTAACTATTTTGCACTGTAGCCTATTTATTGCCTTACCTCCATAACTTGCTACATTTGCACACACTGTATATATATTTTCTGTTCTGTGTTTTACCCCATATGTAACTCTGTGTTGTTGTTTTTATCGCACTGCTTTGCTTTATCTTGGCCAGGTCGCAGTTGTAAATGAGAACTTGTTCTCAACTGGCTTACCTGGTTAAATAAAGGTGAAAAAAAAAAAATATATATAACATGTCTAATGGGTTAAAGACCATGTTATCAGGGTTGATATCCTGCCCAACTAAGAGAGTTACACAGTCGTAATCATCCAGAGAGTGGAACGGAAACATAAAAGTTCATGCCTCACATGTCCAATACAACCATACATTTGTGTTAGTTTTATCAATAGAGGTGCACTTCCTATGGGATGCACATTGACACAGTCCACATAACACCACTGAAGACTTCAGAGGGTTATGACATCTAGAGCAATGTGTGTTTGGTTAGGTGAAACACATTAACAAAGTAGAGTAAATATGTGTGGGTGTTTCACCACTATAGATCTGGGCCGTCCATCGGGGAAGAAATGCCATTCCTATATGCCCTCTCCATCTCGATAAGTTTAGGGTCCAGTTTGAGTTGATCTGCCAGGGGTGTCTTGGCCTTGACTTCTGTGTCATGCCAAGTTTCAGTCTTTATGTCCTCAATTCCATCGATTAACATGTTATTGCGCCTCAATTGGTTTTCGAGGTAGTTTCCTTTGGAAGAATGCTTGTCAAGTGTTGTTTGGAAAATTGCGAAATCCTCTGACATGGTTTTGAATGCGGTCTAGCTGGTGACATTCATGCCCTTTAGCTCCTCCACCTCTGACTGCGTAAACTCCCAAATGTGTTTGAATTCCATAACATCCTTAAACAAATAATCAACCCTTTTGTTGGTAGAATCCATGAAGAGTGGCAGGAAGGACATATTTTCCTGCATATCTATTAGATCTTTATAGAACTCTTTTTGTTGATCGAGTAGTTCATGGAGGACTTCATCCAGCTGGCTGACTGGTGAATTGGAGGGGAAGTGGCATGCAAATCCTTGAAGTTTGTCTGCTTCACTTTGTTCGAGATCAGGAGTTTGTGATGAGGTGTGTGGTGACAAACGCCTGAACATAATTTTAAATTGAATTTTTAACACAGGCTTCCTTCTTTTCACTTTGTCATACAGGCCAGCAATTTGGAGGGAATGCAATGTTGTGAAACCCTCTGTATATTCAAGTGTTGTGGTGGCAGCAACATGTTTTGGGTATGCTTGTCACCGGCAGGGACTGGCGAGTTTGTCAGGATCAAAATAAATTAAAAAGGAGCAAAGCCCATGTAAAAATTTAGAAAACCTGCCTCAGTCTGATAACTACTTAACCCTGGGATAGAGTTAAAATTGTAATAAAAAGACACACCAGAATGGTTTTCCAAGAGGTGTTCAGGGTTCCCGAGGGGTCCAGTCTAAGTCCTGACTTTAAATCTGCTTGGAAAGGTTTGAATATTGCCGTCCATCACTGATTCTCAACCAAATTTACTGAGCTTGAGCAATGTTAACAGAAACAATGCCCTAAGAGTTGTGCTTCCACCAAGTATTAACTTTGGGGTGTGAAGACATTGTAGTTTTAATTTTTTACTTTCAAATATTTTCTATGCTTTTTCTTTCACTTTGAAAATGTGGAGCAAGTTGTGTAGATCTGTAGGAAAAAAATCTAATTTAATCCCTTTTTAGATTTAATTTTAAGGCAGCAAAATGTGACAACTATGCAAGGGGTGTCTAGACTTTCACTGGGCACTGTATCTCATATTCTGAGAACATGGCAACCATGTTCTATATATGTTTGGTGGGATGTTGATGGAATATTGTCCTAACCCTCAGAAAACTGGACATATGAATGTTATTGCAACATTCCAATGAAATGTGTCTAGAACTTTAATGTTGGATATTCTGAGAACATGGTAACCACATTCTGGGTAAGTTCTGTTTTACATTCAGCGAATGTTCTACACTAACAACAAAACATGATAAATAGGTTCAAAATATGTTAAATAGGTTCACAGGAGGTTTTTGCTAACATACATAGAATATTCCCCTGACTAACGGAAAACTGGAGACTCAAATATCTGGGGAACATTATGGGTAACATTACAAAAACGTTCTCTCTCCCTAGAATTGTTAGCTGGGTTCATCGTACTGAATCTTATATTTTAAACAAGAAGTAACTTAGGTAGTTTAGAGAAAATGGAAGGAAGCATATAAGTTGACACAATTAAATGATGGATAGATAGATCTAAATGTTGTTAAACCCCCAAAAAAGTATAACAGACATATCTTTATTAGAAAGTGGAATGGGGAAAGCAGTCTCAACTGTGATCAGTCTCTGATGAGACCCTTGTCTGCCTTCTTGTGGTGAATATTTTGCCACTGCACTTCTTCAGTACATACTGTATCATTTACAGTACTGTCTGTATGTTTATGTAAAGGAATAACCAGTTATCCACAATGCAGTTATCACAACAATTTTAAATTTATTCAATGTTCTTTACACATCCTTGTCGATGGGAGATATATATTTTTTAATAGCATACAAAAAAATTGTAAATAACATAATGTAATTATGATCATTATGTTATTTAAAATGCTATAAAGTAAACTGTAATATAGGCTATATTGTTTTTAAAACGTTGTGTACAGTTGTGCTGGATGCAATGCTTCAAACTGTTAAGAGTCTCTGAGGCATGAAATGTAGTTCATCATGGGGGAGCTGCAGTCTAGAGCTGTCTGCCTGTCTTCAGCTGAAGCTATCTTCAGTGTTCTCCTTCATTTTGAAAGCCAATCGAATGAGGTCTGTCAGCTATGGAGTGGAAATGCAGGAAAACAACAATTTACTTATATCTGAACCAAGTAAACCTGCAATAAGATATTATTATAGGTTTCTAAATAAACATACAGTACTTCATAAATATATTTTTGTTACTAAACTCAAACATGAAGTTAACAATGAAGACAAACATTTATATTCTGATAAATACAGACAATGAAGAGAGCAGTAGCTGACTTGTTGAATAGTAACTGTGATGCGATGAGTACAGTAGGCTACATACGATAAAGGGAAAGACAGGCATTCACCTAATGGATGCTGGTTAAGTTACTAACCTGTTTGAGGTATCTGTCTCTGTCTGTCTCTTCCCACTGTCTCGTCTTTGGGAGCGCCAGCCGAGAGGGAGCCTGTCCCTGTTCGTGTCTCTGGTTCTGGTTATCCAGTCCCCCCAGAGCCCTGATGAAGGGTCGCACCAGCTTGGACGGCTGCACATATCTATCCAGCAGCTTGTCTTTCTCTGTAGACGGTCTATACCTGTAGTCACTGTCCCTGTTGCTGCTCTCCTCTGATCCAGAAAGCCTGTCAAGGCTTTTCTTTCCCATCAAGTGACCTGAAAAGCAGTTTGTACATAAAGAATTGATGGATCACTGAGGAAGATTGAACATTGAAGTTAGAGTTCTGTTGAGTGAGCTGATTCAGAGCTTGGTTGCTACTTGAATAATGGGTTACAACCTCTTTGTGATGAAAATGTGCTCTGAGCTTTCTCAAACACCCAGGAACATTTCACAGTAAATGTCACTTGCCCACCAAATAGCATATTTATCTTTCTGGATATACAACTTGAGAAAAAGGAGATCATACAAAACATATGTAACAGTTGGCCGTCCACATTAAGTTATATTTTGTTACATCAGTTCAAGAATTTAATCAGAAACTTAGGGGCGATAAAGTACTTGAATTGAAGGTTTCCCATCAGTTTTGTAAATCTCTAAACAAACTTGATCCATCCTACACAATCTCAACAAATGAAGTATATAATAATAATATGTCAATAATGATCAATAATAATGTATTCTTCTTTTATATAAATATAAATAATAATAGGTATCTTACCTACTGCCCAGTGATTCCCTCGTGGGTACACTTTTCCAATGGATCCTACATTCTCTGAACAATGCACCATACATGAAATTGATAACAAAATAATAACAATCAATAAGGAAGGTTTGTAGGTCCATGCATGGCACAGCTCGCCCATGATACCGAAGAGAGAGGAGCAAGCTTTATAATAAGGTATTTTAAATCCTTATTACCTGTTTATCCAGTGGTCCAGTTAAAAATTAATAAACGAATGGTGGTCTTCCATTACCAGTTCATTTATATCATACCGCGACCGAACCGCCTGAGTTTGTTATCTTGACGTGATTGCGAAGTTATACAGAGTGACTCCATGGGATGATAGCTCTGAAGTAGACAGTGAAAGTTAACTGCCCCTCCTGAGCGTTTATGCGTCAGCGATCTTTTAAAAAAATGGACCCATGATGCTAAATGGAAAATGTATAGTGACAAATTGTGATAACCTGCCATTATGAAGCACGGCTCGGCTGGGTATTGTGTGTGTAGAGATTGCATTCGCATGAGGTGTCAGCGTCATTTCATTAACATTGACAGGTTGGTTATTCCTCTTTGCACAGTTTGAATAGTCTGTGACATTCCAAATAGCACCCTATTGCCTACACAGTGCACTACGTTTGAGCAGACTATTTGGGACACAGCCTGTATTAATAACAGGCAGTTTCTAGCAGGTGCTGAGAAATTACTGATGCTTAGATATATTTAGTCATTAAACCTGAGTGTACAAAACATTAGGAACACCTTCCCTCAGACAGCCTCAATTAGTCAGGCATGGACTACAAGGTATCAAAGGCGTTCCACAGGGATGCTGGCCCATGTTGACTCCAATGCTTCCCACAGTTGTGTCAAGTTGGCTGGATGTCCTATGGGTGGTGGACCATTATTGATACACACGGGAAACTATTGAGCGTGAAAAACCCAGCAGCATTGCAGTTCTTGACACACTCAAACCGGTGCACCTGGCACCTACTACCATACCCTGTTCAAAGGCTCTTAAATCGTGTGTCTTGCCCATTCACCCTCTGAATGGCACACATACAAATCCATGTCTCAATTGTCTCAAGGTTTAGAAATCCTTCTTTAACCTGTCTCCTCCCCTTCATCTACATTGATTGAAGTGGATTTAACAGGTGACATCAATAAGGGATCATAGCTTTCACCTGGATTCACCTGGTCAGTCTATGTCATGGAAAGAGCAGGTTAAATGTTTTGTATGCTCAGTGTATGTAAACCAGTGTAATGTGTCAGACCATAGTGTAGGCCTCCTGTTGACCAGTAACAGTATGGCAAAGTAAATGCTGGATAAATAGTATGGACTAGTATAGAATAGAGTACAATAGAATACAAAATAATACAATACAATACAATAAAATAGAACACATTTCAACACTCACATTAGAGTCAAAGTAAACTTTACAGTTTACACACTATTTAATAATTGCAGTTCTTCTGGATGTGAATAACAGCAGCTGCACCTATCAGGTGACATGCTGACTTCTGTCTCGGTGTTGTTATGAGTTAAGTCTCACAATGGGATTTCCCTGTATAAATAAAAGGGAAAAAAATAAACAGTTGGTTTCCAATAAAAGAAGTGGCCGCAATGGAGACCAGTAAGGAACACACAGCTGAGAGCAGGTGTCAGAAATGGTACTGTATGAGCCAGGCAAAGAAAGATAAGTAATTTACTTATGTTTATTAATTTAGACACATTGATGAATGAATGACCCTCACAACCATTTGGTTACCATGTGGAAATTATATAATGGAATCTGCATCGGTTACAATCAGTGAATAGGAAAGATCAACAACATGTACAAAAACGTGGCCATGTTATTTAATTAAATTAGACTTCTATGGAAGTACACCCCCATGTGAAAGGTTCATACTTGACTGATCACATTCATATACTGTATTGACATACGGATCATTGCAGAGAAAGAGTAAAAGAGTATCAGTGTTGACAGTAGTAGTCCACACACCAGCCTTTTGAAGGTACATGCAGGTAACATTTGGTCTGATAAGGTTGAGTGCAGCCTGGGGGCATTGTCCCATCTCAGGAAAGCCCCGCAGGAAGTTGGTGAGTCGGCCTGGTGCTAAGCTCATCCTCAGTGGATGACATCACATCAAGAGAATAACCTACAGTGCCTTGCAAAAGTATTCATCCCCCTTGGCGTTTTTCCTATTTTGTTGCGCGTTTTTCCTATTTTGTTGCGTTACAACCTGTAATTTAAAATGGATTTTTATTTGCATTTCATTTAGTGGACATACACAAATAGTCCAAATTGGTGAAGTGGAATGAAAAACATAACTTGTTCCAAAGAATTATACAAAATAAATAACGGAAAAGTGTTGCGTGCATATGTATTCACCCCCTTTGCTATGAAGCCCCTAAATAAGATATTGTGCAACCAATTACCTTCAGAAATCACATAATTAGTTAAATAAAGTCCACTTGTGTGCAATCTAAGTGTCACATGATCTGTCACATGATCTCAGTATGTATACACCTGTTCTGAAAGGCCCCAGAGTCTGCAACACCACTAAGCAAGGGGCACCACCAAGCAAGCGGCACCATGAAGACCAAGGAGCTCTCCAAACAGGTCAGGGACAAAATTGTGGAGAAGTACAGATCAGGGTTGGGTTATAAAAAAAGATCTGAAACTTTGAACATCCCACAGAGCACCATTAAATCCATTATTTAAAAATGGAAAGAATATGGCAACACAACAAACCTGCCAAGAGAGGGCCGCCCACCAAAACTCACGGACCAGGCAAGGAGGGCATTAATCAGAGAGGCAACAAAGAGACCAAAGATAACCGTGAAGGAGCTGCAAAGCTCCACAGCAAAGATTGGAGTATCTGTCCATAGGACCACTTTAAGCCATACACTCCACAAAGCTGGGCTTTACGGAAGAGTGGCCAGAAAAAGCAATTTCTTAAAGAAAAAAATAAGCAAACACATTTGGTGTTCGCCAAAAGGCATGTGGGAGACTCCCCAAACATATGGAAGAAGGTACTCTGGTCAGATGAGACTAAAATTGAGCTTTTTGGCCATCAAGGAAAACGCTATGTCTGGCGCAAACCCAACACCTCTCATCACCCCGAGAACACCATCCCCACAATGAAGCATGGTGGTGGCAGCATCATGCTGTGGGGATGTTTTTCATCGGCAGGGACTGGGAAACTGGTCAGAATTGAAGGAATGATGGATGGCGCTAAATACAGGGAAATTCTTGAGGGAAACCTGTTTCAGTCTTCCAGAGATTTGAGACTGTGATGGAGGTTCACCTTCCAGCAGGACAATGACCCTAAGCATACTGCTAAAGCAACACTTGAGTGGTTTAAGGGGAAACATTTAAATGTCTTGGAATGGCCAAGTCAAAGCCCAGACCTCAATCCAATTGAGATTCTGAGGTATGACTTAAAGATCGCTGTACACCAACGGAACCCATCCAACTTGAAGGAGCTGGAGCAGTTTTGGCATGAAACATTTTCAAAAATCCCAGTAGCTAGATGTGCCAAGCTTATAAAGACATACCCCAAGAGACTTGCAGCTGTAATAACTGCAAAAGGTGGCTCTACCAAGTATTGACTTTGGGGGGGGGGGGGGGGGGGGGGGGGGTGAATAATTATGCACGCTCAAGTTTTTTATTGTATCACAATGAAAAATATTTTGCATCTTCAAAGTGGTAGGCATGTTGTGTAAATCAAATGATACAACCCCCCCCCAAAATCAATTTTATATCCAGGTTGTAATGCAACAAACTAGGAAAAATGCCAAGGGGGGTGAATACTTTTGCAAGCCACTGCAGAAGCATTATGAATCAGTTTGGGCCATAGGGTAGGACAAAGTCAGGCTACAATTGAACTATGTTAGGTCACTATAAAAGCACTGTATTGTTAAAAGATGATGAGTTAGTAAGATCTGAGCAAATCACATATTGTCAGTGCTGTTTTCAGTCTAAAGCATCCATTTCAAGATATTTTCTATCTAATATTTTGTCTTTATTCTCTGTTCATAATGGCCTTTGAATATACAGTAATAGAAACGTACAAATATGAGTCATATTGAATATGTATAAGGAATACATCTAACAACACTGTGATGTTTGTCACTAAATGCTGGCATGAAGGGTTCTGCAGCTGCCATCCATTCACAGTCTTTGAATAATGATAAGATAATGATCACATATAGAAACTAAGGCAAGACTGAGACCAACTCATACATCATAATAGCTGTAATTTAAATGATCGCTGGTTGCGTCATTCAGTATTTCAATAACCAAGAATCATGACAAGTTGATTGATTTATATTCTATTCCCCATTAGCTGACCAATTTGTGAGAGAGTGATGCTCTGGGAGTCTGAGAATACGGTCTGTATCTGTTTAGCATGGTCACTAGATGGCAGTGTTGGGTGAATTTAAGGATATTAAAATCAACACACTTATTATTGTAATATCTTCAAATGATATGCTATGACATATATGACACCCAATCATTCTGTGGGGTATAGGCTAGAGATGAGTCACATTGGATGATCCCATAGGCACATTCTTTGAAGAACTCAAAGGACTTGACATTTTCAACCATGATGACAAAAAAACAGACTGTGTAAATATAACACGCTTCATTCATCCTACTCTTTTTGATACGAAATGTAAAATAGACCGCAGATAAACCTGGTGGTGTCATATTCACAATGGAGTTTTGATGGGAAATAGGGGTAATTTAAGGAGTGCCTTTTAGCAGCAACCTGTCAGTTAAAAGCAATAATTGTGGTACTAGTGGCCATTATGAAACTTATGTTGACTGTCACAGCAATGAATAGTGTGACATGAGTCAAATGACAAAATGACATATGCCCTTCCATTCACTGACCTTAAATGAAACCACACTTCCAAACATTGTTGAAATAATGACAAAATGATAACTACCTTGCCCATGAAAAAATTATATTGATAACTATGAGTTAAACCTTGAATGAGAAATGTTATAGTCAGATATGAATATTGCTTGAATACCTTCACAGCTTTTTTTATTTTTCATCCACTAGTAGTAAGAAATAATTTCGAAATCCATTTTGTGAATATACAGTGCCTTCGGAAAGTATTCAGACCCATTGACTTTTTCCACATTTTTTAACGTTACAGTCTTATTCTAAAATTGATTAAA